ATATCGGGATCCCTGGCTGTCTTCTATAATAAATTGAAATCATGATAAATCATACTGGTCTAGTTCTTTGTCTTCGTCCCTGAGAAGTACAACGTTCAACCGAATTAAAAACGTTTAATAGACGCTCGCTATGTTTTCGAATCAGTACTATTCTTTGATCTATGTTACATTATTTTGCATTTTAATAAAAAACAAAATAAAAATATCGAACAAACCATTCTACTAACAAAAGTAATTGTTTATTTTTGCTAGGATTAATTTTATAAGAGTTACCCAAAAAGGACTAGAGCGATGGAAAAAAACACTCATTGTAAAATAGTATTTTGTGTCGTTGAAAACGAATTTTACTTTTTTTCTCCTTCTAGATCGAAAAAACAAGAGTGATTCTAAATAATTTTACTTCAAAGTATAATCCCTTGAAAACTTTGACAGAACGAAAACATTCTATTGTCTCCAAATAGAAAACATAATATCTCTCCGATCTTAATTTTGTATGAATTGTTCAAATTAGATTGGAGCTGTACGAACATTTCTACCAGATACAGACCCTCTCGAAATGAATGTCTACCTGAAAAATTAAAACTTTTGACTATTGTGTCTGGAAAATGAAATCTTTCCTAAGTATTAATTTTAAAAGACATTTTAACTAGAATTTTTCTTAACAAAATCATCTTGTTTTATTTCGATAGTTGAAGAGAGAATTCAAAAAAAATTGCTTTCCACTATTCAAATCGAGATAAATTACGTCTGGGATTGAAATTCACTTGTTTTTGTTCGAGAAATATTGCTGTATAAATTCAAAAACTATACATCTATCAATACGTTCAAAATAGAATGATTAATTTATCCAGTTTGTTATTAGTAAAGGTACAATCCCAATGAGCTCTTCACTTAGTTGTTTCAAAAAATTCAAATTTTAATAGACATTTTTAGCAGAGTTTGAAAATCTTTAACAGGGTCATAGGTAAAGTTAAGCTTTGAATAACAATTTGAAACTTTCTATCGAGACAAAGTATTACTAAAACTGTTTTGTTAGGGAAATCTCTGGTTTTTTACTTTCTTTTTTCTGTTCAATACTACCCAAAAAACGTTTTTTGCGTAGCGATTACAACACCAAAAATTTACGTTTCATATTGTAGAATCAAAGAAATAAAAAAAAAGACTCAAAATCTTCAGAATAAATTAATATTGCTGAGATTTTCCTCTTTGGCAAGTTTCAAATTGAAATTTGATTCTTCAATTGTACTGGCAGTTAACCATAGTATTATGCCAAAAAACAGCTCAAATCGTTAATTATATTGATAGAAATGAATTAGAACATGCACGAACTATCTTCAAGAAACTAAGACGTTATCAAGACCTACAACATGTGCATAGTTTCGATTTCCAGGTGAATTGGTGCGTAGCAATTCTTTTCTCATGAGTATCTAAACAATGTTGATCTTTAGCAAAATGTAATGTAGTTAGAATATGATTTCATTTGAAAATAATTTTAAAAAACTATTGAGATCTATCGCATGCTATTGAAACAACTCGATATGAGCCTACCCCATTTGAAATTGATCAGCAAACACTGATGTCAAATTAGTTAAAGCTCATTTTTATTTAAAGTTGTTTCAACTTGTAGTTGTATATGGTGTCAGTAAGACTTTATGAAACGTAAAAAAAGATGAAGAAATGTAGTAAGATATTCTATTCATGTGCATTGAAGCTGAAAATTTAATTTCTAATTTCGATTAAACTGTGATAAAAAGAACAATTATCTTCATCAGTTTATAAGTTTAGTAATGTTTATAGATAAAACTGTCAAGTTAAACTTAAAATATGAATTTATGAAGTACGTATTTCGTAGATTTTCAGAGAAAATCTGACCAATTTAAGTTAATCTATAAAAACAATATTCTTCAAACTAAATTGTTGATACATATCATTCAAATTCTGTTATAGTAGCTGAGAACAGTTGAGATAAAAAACGTATTCTTGAATAAAAAATTGCTTATTTTGATCAAATTTTCAACGTGCACGCTAATATGTTTCCATACCTTTGTGTACTAATAAAGCACAAATAGATTTGAAAAACTTATCAAAACTAAAGTCTTCCTTTCATGTCATATGGAATAGAGTGAAGCATTTTTATTTCATTTGAAATAAAACATCTGTTTAACAATAAAAAAATACATGATGACAATTTTACAAATAAAAAGACAGATGTCATTCAGTTTTTTTACAATAATTCAGATTTACATCAATAAGCAAACACTAGAAAAAAATCAAAACTTCAAAATGATTTGTACTTTTGTTTTGTTTTGTTTGTCAGTAGTCTCCATGTGCTATAGAGCATCCGTTTCCTGCATGATTTTGACCTCGCTTGATCACTATTGAATCGATTGAGCATATTTATTAGGTAGGCACCATTAAAAGAATTGTGAGACTTGCATTGTTGACATTGCTCTCTCTACTTGTCGGCGAATAATTAAAAGTAGGCAAATATCTCTCCATTTCTCGACCCTTTTTTTGTTCAAATAAAACACAGAAAGAAATAGAGATTGACGTCTAAAAAAAGACGGAGCCAAGCGTCGGCAAAGCGTCAATATTGGTCATGTTCGGATAATGATTGTCAAGAAAGATCTCGATTACAATAGAAAGACACACAGAGAGAGAGAGAGAGAGAGAGAGAGGGAGGGAGGGAAAAAAAGACGATGCCAAGTCATTTTCATATGTAAAGAATAATATAAAAAGGAAAAGAAAAAAAAATGTTTTTTTAAAAATGTGCTATAAAGAAAAGAGACAATAATCAAAAGTTCATACGAAACAGAGAAAATATTATCGTTATCTTGAATAGTGGCGATTTTCACACAAAATATATTAGTAAAATATTTATCAAAAAAAAACATTTCATCAAATATGCATGCAAAGAATAACTAAGAAAGTTTTAGTTATGTGTATATTTACACAGTCGAAGGTCATCACACAATTAAATAGACCTTGTTAGAAGATCTCGTCTTTCATTTTTCTTTCACCATGAGGATATTGCTAGTGACATTCACGACAGTCTTATTGATCTCGTCACTGAACAGGATGCTTGACAATTGATTAAAGCACTGTTTGTTGAAGCAATTTTTAAGAGAAAATTATTCTTTTTTGTTTTTTATCAATTTCATGTAATTTAGTACAATCAATTAATAGGAACAAGTGTTCATGTCATTATTAGCTCCTTTGAATAGTAGCAAAGAAAAAGACGACAAAAATTTAAATAAAATAATTAATGATCAAGAAAATACTTCCTATACATTATTACGTTGAATGATCAAGAATACAGAAAAAAATCTAACAAGCTAATCACATACATAGTACAGTAGAGCACAAGACACAAGTGAATCTGCTTATCTTTTAATTGAATTAGGACAAGAGACAGAGAAAAAGAGAGAGAGAGAGAGAGAGAGAGAGGAAGAGGAAGAGCGCATCCGATTCGGATGTAGTAATCAATAAGATAGGAGAACGATGGTAGATATTGATCCTTATATGTACAACAGGGATAACGTTCGTCTTGTATATATAAAAAAAAAAGAAAGAATTTGCCACACGTTCATCTGATAAAAAATGTTCTTCTCAGTAACATATATATATTCTATTTGAGCATTTATTATTCAATTGATTTTGCCTTATAAGATAAAACAAAGAGATGACTGGAGAAGATGTCTCAAGTGTTGTCTGATCAGATTACTGATTCACTTTGTTTATAAGTGAAGCATTTTTCCTCATCATCTGTGAGTATTCTGATCAAGGTTTACCATAGTATGTTTTCTCTTTTTATCCTTTCCGTTAGTCCTTGCTCAAAGGGAAAAGATTTCCGAGAATAACTACAGATGTGTACGTGCATCTAGATATATATATATAACATCGTTAGTAATAGTATGTGGGATGAATTGATATCTGGCCTTTTGTCTCTTTCTTTTGCTGTTCGTTCGATCTAGAGATATGTTAATTGACACGCATATTTGTTCAAGTGGTACTGCTATTGGCATTATCGGTCTTGATGCATAAACAGGTGGTATTAGAGACACACTTACTTTAATAAGTTGATAAATATATATTTATGGATGCAGAGGATGTGTTGGTTAATACACCTGAAACTTTGCTCACCTATTCACATAAAAGCAAAGGTTTGAGAAAAATTTCAGGCGTGCATTCCCAACGCTTATCTATTTTAATATCTAGAATAGTAATAATAATCATAATAATAATAATATAG